AGCAATGTGCTCTCTAGGTCCTAATACACTGGGTACTTGGATCTAAATTTACTGAGTTCCAACCCAAGACATCGCTTCCCAAACACCCCTGGTATTTTCTTCCCCCCGGTCTGTGATGAGCACCTGAATGGAACAGAAAGATGAGCCACGTAATTTAGGTAAACATCTTTCCATTTTAAAAGATCCATTTGTGTCTATATAATCTTACATTAGTAAGATTTTCAGACTACTCATCTGAGATTTAGGATATGAGCTTCAGCATATTCAGTAACAAATCATTTTTAAATTTCCAAGTTTATCAGCTCTGTGATAACAATGAACAATTCAACTGATCTTGGAAGGTATTCATTGCAACCTCTCCTGTCAATCCAGCTCTTAGCTGTCTTATTCCCCAAGGATTCAGACTATATCCCCTTAAAACCAGTGGAAGGGTTCCCACTTACTTCACTGGAACCTCAATCAACACAGATGTTACTTCAGTTATTAGAAAAATATTATTTTCTCCAATGCATGCATTTATCAAGCATAAAAATAACCCAGCTTTGATTCTCTAATGTTTTTTTCACAGCAATCTAGCTGGTTGGTGCATTTGCAATCTGACAAAACAGATATCTGTTATTGCAGAGAGTGTATCTAAGTTTTCTCATCTATTTCAAAAAAAGCCTCACAAAGCTATTCAGAACTCAGTACACGTTTCTTCTTCTTCACAATTCATTTTCTTTTTTTTTTTTTTTTTTTTTTTTTTTTTAAAAAAAAACCAAAAAATAATTTAAAAAATTAATAAACATTTTTTTTTTTTTAAAATTAATTTTTTTTTTTTTTTTTTTTTTTTTTTTTTTGTGACAACCTAGGCAATAATTCACAGCTCACTTGGTCTCCTAAATAACCCCCTTTATATTTACATGGTAGGCATTCCCCCATTACCCAGTGGGATTCAGCTGTATTGGCAGGCAGTCATTAACCATTCTTAAGACTTCGCAAGTTTAACATATCCTCTAGTTAGTGTCTTTGAAAACATCTTGTATGGTTACCATCCCACAAATATATAGCAAATCCTGACAATTTAACAATAACATAAACTGCGTCATTTTGTAATTCTGAAGTGTTCCTTCTTTGGGTCCCATCCAGACTCCTACATAAAGTCTTTAAAGCTCAGAAGCATTTCACCCAATGGAGGATTGTTATGTTTCTTTTTTCTACTGGAAATTAAGTGGTGTATTTGAGTTTCTTTGCTACAATTTCGTAAGCGTGGACTTGCTTTGCTTTATGTACTGCAGTTATTTTAACCCAGCATCACTGAGAATTCTGGGGAAAAGAAAATGGTGCAAAATTCCACTCTTTGTTGATGTATGGAGAAAAGTCCTTTTAGAAAAGTGGCATAAAGATCATTCTTGACAGAAAGAAGCCCAGAGTAACTCTCACAGAAGCGAAACTTTCACTAGAATGTCATCTTTTACTAGAAAGCACAAAGGAAAAGCCAAACATCCAGGACTCACAGGTTTGCTCTGACTGCGGAAACTCTCCCAACTGACTTCCTTTACTGCCTACAGAACGTCACTGAGGATGCTGCTCTGCAGCTTTCCTTTGTGCTGAAATCTCTAGTGCAAATGGGACTTATAGGGCACATACTCCTACCTAACAAGTGGATCAAAGAATGACAACACAAATTAGAACTCTTTAGTAAACGCCAAGTTATATTATGGAGGCTGGTAGGAATATAGAAGACAACAGATTGATATTTACACTACTGATATTTGGCACTGGTTTCTACCTGTTTTTAAGTGATCTCCAAAAGAAGCTGGGGTGACAGGCTGTTGATCCCACCTAGAGCACTTTGTATTCTATAAGAACAACGTCTCCTATTTTACTATGTTGCCCATGATGTCAGAGGCTGATGTTGGTGGGATAGCAGTAGAGGGTAAACCTTCCCATCAACATTTCATTACGTTCTGTTGCCATGTGACAGACGGCAGCTGAGGGGCAGTCTGATAGAACAGCATTTGACATTGAAGATGAATCAAAGTTGAGGAATTGTATTCCTCCAGATGGAAAAAAATGGCATCCACTGACATTCATTGATGCTTGCTGAACATACCTGGAGACAAAACAGTGGACGTGAGCACCATGAGCAGGTGATGCACTTCAGCAGCAGTGACAGCAATGTGAAAGACAAGCAACATTCCAGATTGCAGCCTTTTACAAGTTCAGCATATAGGTTCTTACCCACCACTGGCAAAAATGCATAGCTAGTAGTGGTGAACACATTGAAAAACAGCGTTTTGTATCTGAGAATTTGCTCTATCAAATAGTGTTATTGTGCTCTTTGTATCTGTTGTAGTTTCCATGGGAATAAATAGGAGGCAATACTTTCAGAGTAACTTCTGTACAACGTTACTGGATAAGTCTAGATTTAAGGGATAAATTCCAGGTAGTTATTTAGAGTCATTTACACTTGTAAGTGGATAAGAAAAGTGATATTAACTTAATGTGCAAAGTTATTGCTTGTTTTAGCAAAATTAGTGAAGTCTTTAAGACCAGAAAGCACTTGAGCATATATTTCCCATACAACTTCAAGCAACATTCAAATGCCACTAAACAAATTACCATAGCAGCTGTAATGAAAGGGAAGGGCCACAAAACACGCAAACTGTTTGGGGTTTTCTTTAATTAAAGCAAATAATTCTCAGTTACACCTGATGACATCCCATACCTTCTGAAGTCTTCTCTTTCATCTTTAAAAGCTCTGGAGGAGGCCATAGCCCTGTATCATTTGAAATGCTTTGATAACAATGTATTTTTATACTGATTATTCCTTTTAAGTTCAAGCTCACAGCAGTAATATCCTATTAGAAGTAGTCCTGGATGCAGAACAGTATTTTAGGATACTAATTGCTCATGTTCCTAGCCATCCATGAAACATATGCTGAAAACACAGAAGTTTTCAGAAATGCCTCTCTAAGTCATAAATCTTTTACAGGTACAATTATGTGAGAGCACCAATGGGAAAAACACATTCAACATCTGGAGTCATATGAGTTTACTGAAGTAAAATTGCAAAATTAAATTTAGATGAACTTAATTAAAAAAGAGGATCCACTTTAATATGGACATTTATCAAGTTCTCATTGAAAACCTTTTTTGCCTCAAGAAAATATAATAAAGTATGAATACAAAAACCACACAAAGGCTGAAATGAAGTGTGAAGGGATAGTCAAAAAAAGAAACGCAGTCAGGAGGAGCTTTCTTTTTTTTCCCTCATTTTAACACACTTAGGCACACAGATGCTTTCCCTTTACCTGTATTATATGCATATAATACACAGCACAATATATTATATTGAATTATTTTTTGACTCCAAAAGTAAACTGGTCAACCGTATGCCCTGAAGATCACTAATCCTTGAGACAGCTGTTGCACATTTACAGAAAACATGGAGATGCAACTTTTTCCTCTCTCCTATTATGTACTTGTACAGATGCTCAATTTTTTCTCCTAGATTCTAAGAAACTTTAGCTAAAGACTGTTATACTTTTTAGTGCTTAAATCTGTTACTTGCTACTGCTACAGGGAACAGGAGTTCTGTCACAAGGCTTGTAGAGGATTTTCATTTGCCTCAACAAAGACACACACTTCAGCTTTCATTTATTAGGTCATTAGTGTCTTCTATTTTCAGAGTAAAAAGATCTAGTGGTTCATCTCTCGTCACTTCTAGCTGCCATGAACTCTCTGGCAGATCTACATTGACTTTCAACTACATACAGAATTTAGCAGTGTCAAAAAATGATTTGAAAAAATTAGAGTAGTGCTACAAGGATCATATTATTTCCTCACAAAACTGCCTTGGTAATTTGTTGTTCTTCACCTTGGCTGTGTGATCAAGTAAAAGAGTACAACGTTTATATCACATTACTTCTGATAAGGAGCAGTTGGCTCTGAGGAAGATACTATCCTTTATTAGGGACACGTTTCAACATTATAAAAGTTACCCAGCAATAATGAAATGTAATCTGTCTTGATGATTCATGATAACACATTACTATGCTCATTTTCATATGAAAAGAGTAAGATTGGACAGGGCTGCTATTGTTGTTGAATACATCTTCAAACTGAAGCAGAGATTTTATTGAACTACTTGGTTAATGATGCTAAATTACTTGAGGAATGATGAATAAATGTTTTGTTTCCACATTAGAAGAATCTTAAATTTTGAGGGGCAATCTATTAAAAAATATTTACTCTTCCATAGCCTAGAATGGGCAGGACTTGGAAGTGGTGGTACTTGTGTCTTCAAAGTGAACTAAAACCAGCTGGCCTAGGTGAAGTCAAAGGGCTGTCCACATCCTGCCTCTAACACCACACGAGAGTTGATGCTAAGGGGAAGACCATGCATGCATTGAAATGTCTCCTTACCTCCTACTTCTCCAAGTCCAAAAATGATTAATGCAACTTGTGGCAAAATTGGTGAGAATAATTCTCATGAAAAAGGCATGAAGGATAATATTATCATCTAAAAATTAGATTTTCCTACCAGAAAAACTGAACACGTACGAAGTGCTTATTTCCTGTTAAAGAACTACTCTGCAATACCCAACTCCAGTTTCCTATACAATATCTTCCAAACCGAAACAAAAGTACTGTGGGACTCTGCTCTACTCCTTTTCTCTTTTACACTACAGCTGTAAGTTTCCCTCTACAGCAGGAAATTCTGAGCATCAAAGTGCAACAACATTACATTTCTTTGCAAAATCTCCACAGCAGCACAGCATATGGGAGCAGCATCCGAGAATGTGACTCAATGTTCGAACAGACCAGTTAAAATGAAGACAGCGTCAGAGGCAAAAATAATTTGTAATTTTACAACTTGTTTTCTCAGTTTTCAAGAAGAAGCCACTGAACTTCCTTTTTGTGCATTTTACTTTGTCTTTGGAGCCTGTCCACCATCCTTGTGTAAATGGTTACATACTTCAAAATGTACAATATCAAACCTTTTGAGAGCAGTTACTTTAGTAGAGAGGACAGAAAGAAGTGACCTTTCTGATTTTACTCTGATGAAAATTGCTCAGATCTTGTGTCCTGAGCTCAGCCTCTTGCAGATCAATGCATGTTCTCATATCTCTGTATTGATCAAGGAGAAATACTTCATTTTTTTTCTCCACACACATTCGGTTTTAGTGCGACATGAAAGAAAACAGCAATATTCTAATGTGTTTTAGTATGGCTTTAGATCTTACCACTGAGACTGGATGCGAAGATCCTTAAATCGCTGGCATCAGTAACCCTATTGAGACTGGCATGAATTCAAATGGGTGATCCTGCCAAAAAAATCAGAGGAAAATATTCATTAGACAGATGATTATTTTTAATCACACCTTCCTAATACCCATGGAAGATTTGCTTTATAAACACTTACTGAAGCCTTAATGGTAAGACCACTAAAATGGATCTGAATGCAACAACCTAGGCATACTGAATCTTCAAATGACTGTGAATCTGAACACTGGTTCCCATGTGGTACTTTTTATATAAAAAAAAATATCTGTCCTTTCATAAAGGGAAACAAACAAATTTTACCAGGAGAAGTAACAGTGCACGATCCATTTCATAAACTGTTGGAAAGATGGCTCACAAAAAAAAAAAAAAAACCAAAAAAAACAACAAACCAAAAAAACCAAAAATACACACTATTGGCCAACCCCAAAGTAATAAAGCATGCACTCAAATGCAGTTGATTTTTATTCCAGATCAAAGATGTTTGAAGTTCAAATAGATTTGCCTCCAAATAGTTTCAGTACAGGATTATCCCTCTTAACATCTAAAAAATAACATTCAGGGTTGGCATTTAACACCTTATTTGTACTGCAGCACTCCAGGGACAAGCAAACTTGTAATTTCTACCATATGTGAAACGCTTCTTTTATAACAGTACTGAAGTTCCTATACAAAAAACATGACTGAGAAAAACTCCATCAGAAGGAATACTTACTAAATACACATGTAAGAATTTTTTTTTCCACAATAAATTGCTATTTTTAATTCATGCACAGTATTTTGTAAATATAACTACATATAAATGTGTTTCCTTGAGGTTCACATTGTTATTTGCCAATTTATTCAAATTGCTCATAATCACTAGAACGTGAAAACTGTTTTGAATGAAAGCAAAATAGAAATGGACTTGATGACAAGAAATATGGAGATACATGGATCACATCAGTTTTATCAACCAGTAGCACTAAAACCCAAGTTGCCTCCATACAGTAACAGAAGATCTAAAAACCACTAAAACCTGTGGAACAAATTCAAAACAAGAAAAAACTGTAAGTTAACTGAGTTAACATCGAGCTCTAGAATAGCACAGAGCATCCCCTATCTCTTCTTTCCTCTTCTCATCAAGCTTCCAATGAATATACTGCCATTTTCACTTTATAACAACAAATTCCTTCTAGTGAGACTTTCAAAGCCATGTAAGAGAACTGGGTGTCTAATTCCCTCAGGCAGTTTTGAAAAGTGCAAGATTAATATCTTATATAGCTCCTTATACATCAAACCATTTCCCAGTGCACTTCACATTAATCTTTAATCTAGACACTTTAATCTTCAAATCTTCATACAATAATCTTCAATGAAAGGTACTTTCTGGGAGTTTACAGTATATTTAACACAATTTAAAATCTACTAGTGCATTGCCCTAGCTTTTAATACCCAGAAAATGTTTTATAAATTAGATCAACTACAACCTAGCCAAGGTTTCTGCATTTTTAATATCTTTGGAGGGAGATTACAACAAATGGGTGCTGGAGGGAATGACTTAGCTGCTTAAGCATCAGTTTGCAGTACCGTAAATCACTCCAGAATTGTAGCTGTAGATACCAGAGTTTATTCAATGCTTCACATTTTCCGAGGTAAGGACCAGTAGAGTAAGGACTGCATACTCTACTGGGGAAGACAACACATCTTATAGCGTATACTGCTCTGCTTTGGCAGCTCTCTGTGTGCACATCTGGCCATGGACATAGTTTCCATATCTGTGTTTTTTTGCCAAAAATATTAACTGCAGGAATAGTGTGCCAGGCCCTTTCTGCAGGGATATAGCCATGACTTCAACTCCTCCTGGCCTTTACTGTTCCCTTCCGTGCTGTTTACTTTACCACAGCACCTCTGAGTCCTACTTTTGGACCACGACTTCACAGTATGAACCCTATCCAAAGCACAGTGGAAAAAACCTCTAAGAATTTATAAAAGAAATTTAGGACAGAATGCAGGTAGGAGGAAAAAATACAATAATAGTAGTCATTATGACAGGTAATAATTTTTTTCTAAGTAGAGTGGTGAAGGCACACTTCGAGAAGAAATTTGAAGAATCAGTTTTGCAGACATTCTTAAGAGTTTTGACAGGAGAAAGCAGGAAGGTGCTGGCTTGAAAGCGAGAGCTGAGGTAGAAATGGACACCATGAATCAAGCTGAGGCTGTGGCTTCTGCTTTCATACTGACAAAGTGATGAAAGACCAGAAAAAGAAAAATCAGCTGTGTAAAATGGGAAAGGGAAGTCAGATACCACTTGAGTGCTATAGTCAGAAAGTAATGTGGCCAAAAAAGAAGCCAGGAGCACGACCTTTCTTAGAGCATTATTTGAGCTTGGTAAGATTACATTTCTTGATATCTAAGACAGGAAATTCACAGTAGGAGAAATCTAACAGCCAACACAGATGGCCAGGAAACACTACCTAAAAGACTTTAGATGCCAGCTGGATTTGAAGTGGAAAAGAAGTTTCAGTTGAAGACAATGCTCAAGTAATGAATGTAGGTGATAGATGGTAAGCTATTTATAGACATTATGAAATAGAGTAGCTGAGAGGGCTTCTGCAGGAAGAGTGAGGACCAATGTTTTAGTGATGTTCATTTTAAATATCACTTCGGTGTTTGCATAGAAAGAGACTTAGATGTTAATTTGAGTAGAGAGGCAGACGAAGTACAGAGGTTCATGTGTTTTCTAATTAACCTTATAAACATGACAGCTGAACTTGTGCTTGCAAATGTGACTCGTGGATACATTCGAAGGGAAGTCAAAAGCTCACTCTCCTATAAGCTCCTGAACCTGGAGCTTATGGAGAAACGATAATGCAAATTCAAAGGGCACACAAAGGAAAGGACAGAGCCCAGGTAGCCATCAGAAGATTACTGAAGCTGAAACATCTGATAGGTTCAGGTGCCCAAAGGTGCAGCACTGATTCTCTGCAGACTGGAAAAAGTTATTAGAGACTTGTTTGAGCAGTATGTCTACTACAAAGAGAGGGAATTAGAGGACAGTGACTGTAAAGTGTGGTCCATGAATTAAACGATGAGAACTTATTAGAAGAGCAAGCAGGGTAAAGATCAAGACATGCTGAAGTGAAAGATCAATGCAAGTTGAATTGTGAACAAAAAGAGTAAGAAAAGCGAGGAAAGGAAGGGATCAGATGGGGTCATTTCATAAAGTGGACGAACAGAGGAAGAAAGCAGATGCGGAATATCATTTGTGGCAGCCTAGAGGTCTGTTTCAGGACAGGATCAGTGAATGGATGAGTTACCAAGATGAGGATTGTACATTCATTAGTTTTCACTGCGAAAAAATTGTCAAGGCATATCAGATTAAAATTCTGGTAGGAGAAGAGTGTTTGAGGGTTGAATCCAAAGAGGTAAAGAGGAGGTTAGGACTGTGGGTGCAGATTTCAATTATGTAGCCATAGGCATTTGGCAGAACTGAGAAGGGTGACAGCAGTGGAGGAAGTTAGCTTGGTCACAAGACTTCTGAAATGCTCTGTTACACAAGACAAGCACAGAAAGTATCCACAAGAACTGTGGTGATGAGGACTTCAAGAGATTCACAAAGAAGCCAAGTGCTGAAAAAAAAGTTCAGGAACATCATCTCCCCACACTGAAGTAAGCAAAGAGGGGAAAGACAAAGAAGAAGTTGCTTTTTCAGCCCTTTCTAGACCCAGTCATGAGTGAATCTATTTTAAACTCATGGTGTCTGTCACTGATGGAAACAACTTGACGTATGGATGAGTTGAATTCATCATAGAGCTGCAGCACTTCAAAAATCCTTTCAAATCTATAAAAGATCTTTGAATACTTTGCTTACATTCTGCCACCTGACCTGGCTCAAGATAAAGGCATATTTATCCCAGTAGGGTTTTAATCCTAAAACAAACAAAGAAAACAACCCAAACAATAACAAATCAGGCAAGAAATCACAGCAAAAACAAACGTCCCGTGATTTGCACTTTGAAGAAAAACATGAAATATTTCACATGCATGGTACGTAACTTTCAACTTAAACTGTCTAATATTCAGGAGTTCACACTGAAATCTCTATTTTCTTCATTCAGTGGATTCAAGGATCTGGTCCATCAAGAAAGATGAATGTTAGCCATCTTAGCACATTTCTATAATGCAGAAGGATTTTGGCACACATCTTGAGTAGAGGCAGCTTAAGATCTCCCAGAGCATTGGTAGACAAATAGCTGGTACAGAAAGCTGGTGTTATGATTTATATCAGGCAACTTTATAGTCCTGGGAAGCAAGGAAGAGCTTAAGGAAAATATAAGCACATAAGTTCAAGAAAGCTTAGTGAAAGTGAACTATTGTAAGACATTAAGAATGGATTTTTTTGGATGAAGATATTTTCTTATCAATGACTAGGACAAAAATTTAACTATTTTTGCAGAGTCAGGAACTGAGACTAAAGGAGAATGAGAAAAAAAGTAAAAAAAGAATCTAAATTAAGAGGCTTTAAGAATGATGATCTCAATCTTAAGTGACATCCAAATGTTCATTCAGGTGGAAACATTCAGCCCAGAGGACTGAGTAGATGATTCCCTACAGACACAATTTATACTGCAAATCAATAGGGTCTGTGATGGCACCAATGACTTCAGCTGCTTAACTTATACATCACAGAAGATGGCTTCAAGCACAACAAAGAGAAATGCTTTAACAAGAGAAACATCAGTCTTGACCAAACACTGACTTTCAAGAAGTTAGAGGTGAGAAAGACTAACAAATGGTTGAATTGATAATGTCCTAAAATTTGATAATAACCGAATGCTTAATTTTACATCTTAATGTAGTCAACTTGATTTAAATGAGTTACCATAAATTGCTCATTAATTTATATATCCTTTAGACTGGTCTCTGTGAGATACTTGTGTGTAGCAGCGTAAGAAATCTACAGGGGCTAAATATAATTTTTCTAGGTATTTTTGCTCACCTTCACAAATGTATTCTTAATCCATTTCCATGTAAATGCACTGATTTTTACAGAATATTAAAA